TCCGTGGCGATGAAGATTGACATTATTATGCCGATCTGAAATAGTCTATATTCACATGAGGTAATTTTAGAATTTTTCTTTTAATATATATATATATATATATATATATATATATATATATATATATATATATATATATATATATATATGCTCTGTTATAATAAATCCCTTGAGCTTCTGTGTATCAGTTTTAATATTTGATATTATTAGGATCCACCTGGATTGTATACTTGACTATATATATGTATATATATATATATATATATATATATATATATATATATATATATATATATATATATATATATATATATATATTATATTTAGGTAATCGATCCGTTGGTATATAATTCAGGTGGATCCTAGTAATGTTGGTTATTAAAACTGATCACAAAGAGTTCGATGTATAAAACATATATATATTTTTATAAAAAAATGAAACATTATTTCAATTTCGGAATAGGCGCTATTAACCTTTCCTCAAGGGCTTTCTAATATATATATATATATATATATATATATATATATATATATATATATATATATATATGCGGTGTAATTACGACTGAGTAGTGAGTTCGATCCTCACTGGGTGCCTCATACTTTTTACATCTAAGCTTATCCTTGGTAAATCACTATATATATATATATATATATATATATATATATATATATATATATATATATATATATATATATATATAAAACTTCAAAACATTAAATCTCAAAAAAAAAAAAAATGGTCCCAAAGGATCGAACCTACACCCTGTTCAATGAATAAAAATTGCGGACGTCTATTTCAGATACGGTGTATCCACACTAATTGTTTTATAGAAATTATAAACATGTCGGATTAAAATGTTTATTTCAACGTTTCGCCAGAACATTTTGGCCCCCAAGATATTGATCGAGTCTTTTGAAAATAAAAATATAAATTCTCTTGGAACTTCAGCCAACTTGAATTGGTCGAAAAGATGATGAAATTTAGTTGATTTCTATGATTAGTGATGCCATTCTTACATTGTAAGAATAAAGTGAAAGAACTGATTTAACCAAAGATTACCCACCTTTCTGCTTTCAGTCGGCTTCACCAATTCGTACGGCATTTCGATATTTCTACCCATAAGACTGCAACAAAAACGAAACAAAGGATATCAGGGATTTTTTTAAGGACACATGGCACAGTGGACAAAGGCGTTAGTTAGATCCAGTGACAGGACCCAAAGAATGTGAGTTCAATACCCGGTTAAGGCAGTGGAGAACTTTCCTTTATTCCGAATTAACAGGAGATAACAGATAACTGACATCCATTATAAACATGGCACGGAACTAGAACAGTCTGTGTGAGCGAAATAAAGGTTTCAGTTTGACATTTTAACCACCTGAAGAAAGCCGGAGCGTATAACGGCCGAAACGTTGTAATAAATATGGCGACAAAGATGAGGACAATAGTCTGAATAATGTAAATAGTGTCAGCGATTTTTGTCTGAATTTCTAAAGTATTGCCAATTGTCAAAAAAATTTGACTCGTCTGGATATAACATTAGTCAACACAATTTTTGATGTCAAGAAATAAAACATTTTTTAGCTAATTTGATGGTGCTGATTCCGAAAATGACCTTAGTTTTCTAAGATCAGTTTTACACTGTACTGAAATTGCTCATTTTTGGAAAAAGGATCAATTTACGATCTTGGCTGATCACAAAATTTAGTTAATGAAGGTCGTAGAAACCGATCGATTGTCGGGTAGGCCAAGCAATTTATGTCAGTCATATGAAATAAACAATTTTTATAAGAAAAAAAAGTGTTTTTGAGTCAAAAATTTTAAATTAAAAGTACCGATTTTTTTCAATTTATCGCCAAAATTTAAATTAACTGATAAACTTTATCAGTAAACCTGATAATTAAGGTGACATCAAAAAAATGAAACCCTAAAATCTTCTGTTTGATATTCATAAATTTATCCCATCACTTTTATTCCTTCACTACGGAAGGAAACCAATCATATTGAGGGCATTTGGTTTTCACAGTTGGAAAGAAACTCCAACTAAAGACATCCCAATTGAATGCACCTATTCCATTGTACATGATACTGCTGGAGTATCAAAAGGGACTTAAATAACATTGAATATGACAGACAATCAAGAAAGAGAAAATGTTTACCATAGTTCTTGTGTTCACAAAGGTTTCATTACTTTTGTTAGTTTATTAAATGATTTAATGAAAATACTTCTTGGTCTTTGTATATTCAATGGTGTTATTTTTAAAGACTCAGGGTCTGATTGTTATTGCAAAAATAGTATTTCTCAATAAGCAAACAAATATTTGTTGGTTTAAATACGAACTGAGAGATTTCTATGATTTTATTTTGAGAAATATTGCCCTTGGTCAATATTATATCTACAGAAACCAAATGAAAAAAATGCTTTTTTCCTCCAAAAATGTGGCATTACAGCAAAAATGGTAGTTAACCAAGAAAAATAAATAATTTTCAGATTCAGCGGCCTCAAATTAGCTAAAAGAGATGTTTGGAGTCTCGACACCATTCCCAATTTTTTTTGTTGTTAAACAGTATAATCTGATTATTGTTGCTTAAACCTAGTAGTAGTAATAGATATGAGTTTTAAGCTGGGATGACGGACTGGTTTCCTTTTGAAATAATCTTTATTTCATGAAATCTGCTTTTTTAAGAGCGCTCAAGAAATAAAATTTATTACCTGTGGGAATTTAAGTGTTTGATATTCTTTTATTAATAATAATAATTTTGTTCTGTCTTTTGACATAGAGCTCTCCCTTATCTATATCCTAAATAAATTCATACGGATTACCATATTGCATCAATTATTCATATATATATATATATATATATATATATATATATATATATATATATATATATATATATATATATAATATAATATAAAAAGCCAAACACTAATATTCCATGGTTTTAATTTATTACATTGTAATCACGATCCAATTCATCAGACCTAGAAATTCAAAAAGAAATTGGAAAAATATAACTCCGGGTGCAAAACAACATTTTCTTTTTTTAGCTCAAATTATATTTTCCAATTGATTAATTTTGATCGTGTTTACGATTCCAATGTAATGAATTATAACCATGGAATATTAAAATTTGAAATTCCTTATATCATATTCTTAAAAAATCATCTTGGACATTGAGTTCTACCTGGATTCTATCCTCTTGGAATTTATATATATATATATATATAAATATATATATATATATATATATATATATATATATATATCCATACACGTTGGTCTGGGTTAAAAAACTACAGGATATGAAACACCCGGGACCAACTGGAGGAGCATTAAATAAAAAAATATGGATCAATATTGTCTGAATTTCTTTTTTCGTTCAACGATAATTATTAAACTTATCAGACATTACGAAAAATTTTACATAAAATAAATAGACAACATATTTTGTCTATATTATTTAATGAAACATGTATGAATAAAAAGATGCTGCCTAAATACACACAATATATATATATATATATATATATATATATATATTATATAAACATCTTTTCATCATCTCTCTCTCTCTCTCTCTCTCTATATATATATATTTCTATTTATCTATATATATATATATATATAATTATATGAAGGAATTTTGAAATAATTATAAATTGCTTACCGAACATCTGGTTTTGTCTTTAAACTGTATATAACGAAAGCAGTTGCCATTGTCGATGTTGTGCCTATGATTACCGCTAGTGGAATTAACTGAAAGTAAAAACAGTGAAGGAAAAATGGTTAAAGATATCAATATATTTAAACGTGAAACATATATTTACATACATTTATCTTTCTTATTTCTATCAACGTTATTTTTCAAAGGATTTTTTTGGTTAATTTGCAGTATAAGCACTAAAAGCCCCATGTATTGAGAATATACCATTCTGGTGTGAAATTGCCTAGTTATTTCGAAAATGACTTTAAAACATTGCGTTCGAGTACCGTTTAGAAGTTATGGACAATGTAAGTTCGACTTCTTTCTCGTCGCGTACACACAACGTCCGCCATTACTGGTTTTGTTTGCTTCGATACGGCGTGGAAACTTCACTTGTCTTGATTACTACGCAATGCGCGAAGTTTGAATTTAATGCGCAAAATAATGCGGACAAAATTGAAAAAAAAACGTAAAATCCGACAATTAAAATAAAATAAAATAAAAATTAAAAAAATGAGTAGATATGGAAATTTCGAGATTTTGAACAAAAGTAGGCGCATTTTTCGAGAGGGTATTTGGACCTTTCAGGGCGGTGACGTTCTCTGGTGTCAAGCGTTGACAGGACGTCGGATAAGGCGGTATTTCCTCTTACAATGTGGAACGCCGGTTCGAATCTTGCCGAAGGAGACGTTTATAGGCGGAACTGATATTGTCATTTTTAAGGCATCTACTTAAACATAGGTAACCACAAGCTCATGTTTGTAGTGTGCATATATATATATATATATATATATATATATATATACATTAAACATTAATTTGTGGATAATTAGCTGATGATTCCCAAGTCGGACGAAACAGCCATCCAGTGATTTCTGCATTCTATTGAAGATTATCCTGGGCTCGATGAATTACTATTTATGATTACTCTATAAAAGGTCCATTGTAAATTTCAAAAAAAAATTTATCACTGTATATCCTTGTCCCAGCTAATGGTCGTGAGGAGCGGCTAAGGGTCAATAAGCAGAGGTGGCTCTTGGGGTACTGTTTCGAGGTTATCCGTATACTTGGACGAGCATCACTGCGGTACTGAGTGAGTAGGGGCGCTATATCGAGTCTAGTTTGTGTCTGCTTCGTCACCGTGGTACAGTTAGTATGACGTTTGCGTTGTATCGAAAGGGTCCGGGTTCGGTTCTCAGTAGTGGATAAGCACTGCTGATGAATCCCAAATAGGACGAAACAGCCGTCCATTGCTTTCTGTAGTCTGTTGTAGATTATTCTGGGCTCGATGAATTTATATCTATCTATCTATCTATCTATCTATCTTCTATCTTGTTCGGGTTACCTAGGACTTTTAAAAAATGAACTCTTCCCAACACAAAAGTATATTACGCCTCTCAAGAGAGGGTTCGAATAAGCAGTCAAAAGAGATTCTCGGCTTGATTTCGAACTCTCTGCCTCTAAGCAGAGAGGAACCCGGACGAGGCTCCGTCGAAGGGCAGAGTCTCGTTCTGGGAGGTTGACCAACCCGATCTCGTTTATATATATTCTACGGGCATTTTTTAGCCGAGCCTACGGGCTCTCTAACCCACGTTAAACTCGGCCTTGTGCCACATGCAACCCTCGTGGGGGGGATGCTAAATTGGAATCAAGCCGAGATGCTCGGCTTGAAATCAGTTCCCTCTGCCTCTGTGCAAACATACTAACACCGACGATCCGCCTAAAGGCAGAGTCTCGTTCGGGGAGGTTTCCAACCGTTTATACTCATCGGGTTCTTTTTTTCATTAACCACGTTAAACTCACACTTACATTTATATGAAAACCATTTGTTTTTATATGGAAATTTCGATATCATTTTTAATTTGGAATTTTTTAAAACAGACATATAATAAAATTAAACATCTTAATTTTACCCTTTTTGAAGAATTCTTCCTCATTTTCAAAACAAAAACATCAAGTGAACTGGAGATATATATATTGATTCAAATTAAAATTTAAACATTATGACATTATTTCAAGTTTTATGTTTTGAAAATTTCATAAAAGCCCAATTTATTTTTTCATCATTCATTCCATTTTCCATTTCATCCTTAATTTTCAATTTTTTTTGATTTAAAACATCACGTTGATTGCATCCTCAAAATGGGTTTTGAATAAAAAAAAAGGTTTGAAACTAACCTTATAATTTTTGATTTATTAAAAATGAATTCAGATTTTTAGCTTCAATTTTTTGAAACATGTTAGATAAATGTGTATCTAAACAATAATTAAATCAATATATCATATCATATATGTAAATTTACATTGATCTACTATTTTGAAAATAAAAATATATACGAACACCACCTATATATCTTTGAATTTTCTTTATTTATAATATATATATATATATATATATATATATATATATATAATATATTTATCTACATATGGATTGATATTAGATACAAATGATCTTAAATAAAAACAATGTTTTTCAGTTAATATTTTCGTTTTTTTTAAAATTCAATAGAAACAAGATAAAAAATAATGAAAAAAGAAAGATTTATGAATGCACTTCTTTATAATGCAAATATTTTAACACTCTTTGAATATTATCTGTTATAAATCATGGTACAATCTATTTTTAAAATTTTTTTTAAACACAACATACCATTATCTGCAACTCTTGCATTTTTCATTATATTTAAATCTCTTAAAAATTTTTTTTATCTTGAACTTTGGTTTCCTTTTTCAAATCATACTGAATATTTCAAAATTTTTTTTATAAAATATATATATATAATATATATATTAATATATATATATATATATATAATATAAATCCTTTTAAAAGATATAAAAATTTTAAAAGATTTACTTATTCATATTGAATTTAAATATTATTCTCTTTCTACTTGGCGTATTCAAGAACTCTTCGTTTAACAGAAATAAACAGGTTAATTTCCTTTCGACCAGAAAAACTAAGTTACTGGACAATTTCAAAAAATTTTTTCCGGAGGTTTCTGATCGTAATAACAAGAACTTTTTTTTTATCGGATAAACAAATTCTGCTGTAAAGATTTTAAACAAATTTTTTAAATACATCAATATATATATATATATATATATATATATATATATATATATATATATATATATAAATATAAAATATACATACATAATATAATATATAAATATACCCATAAATATATATTTTCAGAAAGAAAATATAAAAAGAAATAAAATGAAAAATAAAAATATATTCAGATATATATAATAAAAAATAATGGATCTCATTTTCCATGGTCATATTTTTCCTTCCATTGGAATGATAATAGATCCAATTCAAGACTTTTGATGGTTTTTTTTTCTGAAATTAACATATAATATAAATATAAATTTCATATTAGTCATAAAATAAATTTATATGATAAAATTTATCAAAATATATTTTATATTTTCATTAGATGAAGACAATATAATTTATTTTTATATTTTTGAATATTTTATATTTTATAAAAAAACAAAGTATTTGTTTTATCATTTATATTACGTGGAAAAATATACATGTATTTGAATATTGTGATAAAAAAAAGATGTTTTTCAACCAGAATTTGGTCCTTGCTGGATTAGATAAAATATTGTTATATTTATCTTCATATTTTTATATTTGATTTGTAACCTGTAGTCGATATTAAATTTGTCAAATTTTCTCAATTAATTTAAGCGGCCCTTTAAGTAAACATAATTTTACAATCCTTCGTCCCATCTCTCTCCCCCGTCCGTCTCTTTCCCTCCTAATATTCTAAATTAAATTGTCTATGGTGTGTATATGTCACCACGAAATGTATCTTTATGCATTAGACATCCGACAACATTCATTCTTTTCTCTTATCTAAAACCCTTTCCATAAAATCTCCTAAAATTCTCTCTGTTAAGTTTCAATCTCCCTCCTCCTCTATCATACATTTTCTCTAAATTCTGTTTTTAAATTTCAAAAATTGTTTTTTTGTTTTTTTTTTTTGAATTTGTAGGTCTGATGAATTGGATCATTTACAATTCCAATGGAATAAATTATGACCATGGAATATTAGTGTTTAATTTTAAATTTATATATATATATATATATATATATATATATATTATATATATTAATATATATATTTGGGATAAGATTGAATGCAAAAAATAAACAAATATGAATATTTATATATTTTACACATTTGTATATTTTTATTTTGAATATATTTTTGTTTGTATAAAATTTATAAATATATATATATATATATATATATATATATATATATATATATATATATATATATATATTTAAAATATAATACTGATTTTTATATTGCATTTTTAAAATAAATCTGTATTATATCATTATTCAAAATGTTTAAGTCAAATTTTAATGTCTGAATGTGATTTAATTTATCAAATTCTGTCTAAAAACATTTTCTGAAGTAATTTGAATACAAAAATGCTGAAAAAAATTATATAATAAATTAAAGAAAATTCTAAAATTATATATATTAAACAATGATTATAAAGGAAAAAAGACAATAAGAAAATAAATAACATGTTTGAAACAAAATTAACGTTACATATAATTATTTATATTTATATATTTTTGGGTCCACTAAGAAATATTTACTTTTATTTTTGAAAGCCCATTTTCATATGCAGAAATATTTTTTGTACGAAATAAAACATAAAAACCATTGATATATATATATATATATATATATATATTTATATATATAATATATATATATATAATAAAAAATAAAATGATTGATATATATCTAGGAATCTCTTAAAACATTTTAAATATCCAATTTCATTATTCTTTTTTATATATATTTTGTTTTTTTGTTTTCTCCAAAAAGTGAAAATAAATTAAAAATTAAGTTTCTAAATAATAAAATCTATTAAACAATAGACAAAAGAGTTAACGGTTTTTTTCCGACATCATCAAATTTTTGTTAAATAATTAGCATAAAAACAAACAAACAATAAAATAATTTTTAAAATCCATAGTCCTAAATAAATAGTTTAAATACCCTACAAAAAAAGATAACCCTTTATGAAAATTTCAAAAAACTAATGTTACGAAATAGTTTTTTATATACAAAAACCCTTTCAAAAAAAAAAAATAAAAAAATAAATAAATCTCCATAGACAAATAACCAGACTAGGCGAAATCATCTTCCGTTTTAAATTTAGAACCCCAACCTTACCCTGACTTGACATCTGTAAATGTAACTTTAGATATTGATACAAATTATTAACACCTTACACCCTTTTATTTTAAACAATTGCTCTAGCTTCGTTACCATAGAAATTTTGATTTCAATAATGAATATGCTATTAAAACACGTAAATTTCAGAAATAAGTTATTCCAAAAAAAAATTCGCTTGAAGATGGAACAGAGCTTACTTTAATTCAATTTAATTCAAATAATTATATTGAAGTTTTCGGCTCTTGTTTTTTGAAACATGAGAACTCTTATGTAGCGTGTTGGAATCATATTTTTAAATAAATAATTATATTTATATATCTATATTTATATATAGCACTATTTTTTTTAAAATAATAACAAAAATACTAAAGAACTTTGGATTATTTACCTAACGAGTTCTTTCCTATTTTCTATATATTTTTCATATATACATATATATTTTATACACACATATACACATATATATATATATATATATATATATATATATATATATATATATATATATATATATATATATATATATATATATATAACCAGTTAGATTTAAGTTTGAATAAATAAATATTTTATTTATATTCCATATCCGTGATGTTTTTCTCTCGAATAATTTAATTGTCTAATTTTCAGTTTTTTACATTTATTTTTAACAAACAAATAATTTTGTTATTTCTGATGAAAAAAAGAGGACAATATCAAAAATATATAAAATAAATAAATACTTTTTTTTAAAAAACAAATTTTTTTTTTTAATTTTAAAATTTTTTTGATATACATATTAAATTATTTATAAGTTAATCATTATATATTGATATATATATATATATATATAAATTATATATATATTATATATATTTATCTTCAGAAATTTTAGAAAAGAGACGTTAAGCGGGGAAATTTTAATAAATTTATTCGTTAACTTAATTTCATTTTCCAAATGTGGACAAACAACAAATTTATTTTTGAAAAATATAATACCCTAAAACATCCATATTCGTTTTAAAAACTCAAAATTGTTTTTTAAAAACTATAACTAAATTTTCTATTGCCAATGAGATACATTTTGAGGTTCAAATCAAATATATTCTTTTAAATTTTCATTTCATTAACAATATCATCAAAACTTAATGACAATTTCCTATTCCCTTTATTATGACCAATTGCAATTTTTCTTTTTTTCCAGGAACTGACATCTATTCCGAAAAATATGACATTCCATCCAAGAGTTTGTTCGTTTAAATATGGTCAAACTATTTTAAAAATCTAAAAAAAAAAAATTTATAAAAAACTAAAAAATGTAAATCACATAAATGATGATTTTTTTTTGAACATCTCCAATAAAAAAATTCAGTGTTTCAAAAAAAAATCTTTTTATTGCTATCATATGGATAATGAGATTTAAAAAGATATTTTTTCATTTTCATATAAACTTTTTTCCCCTATTGATATGAAAAAGCAATAAATTATTGAATAATCAAATTTAGATTTCATTAATTTAAACCTAAGAATCAAAAATGAAATTAAATTTTTTTTTTTGTTTTCAAAAAAACATGAAAATATTTAATAAATTTTACTATTCAAATTTTGACCATGAATAGTTTTAACATTAAATTCGTTGTTCCCTCTATATATTTAAATATCATTCTTTTCTTTTAAAAATTAAAGAATTATTTTTGAGTGGTCGCATTAATCTAACTCAAGTTTAAAAAACATCCCAAATGCAGATTTCCTTGTAAGGATTAATATAAATATTTTTAAAGTAATTGTTCTGAAGTTTTATTATTCTTTTGTAAAAGGTTTAATGAGAATCAAAATTTAAATAAAATCTTTTGATTGGACTTTCCATAATTTATTTGTTTTTCTATTTTTTTTCAATTTTTGATTATTTGATCTGTTGAAAAAATTGTTGTTAAATTTAAATACATTATTAAATATCAAATAATATCAAATTTGATATATATGTTTATATATATATATATATATATAAAATGCATATTTATGTTCTTTAATAAATTTATTTTATTTGGATATTATTTTTTTAATTATGGATTTCAAAATTTATCTTGTAACATTTGAAATAGCTAGATTTTACCGTGATTTCTAAAACAAATATTAATCAATTCTTTATTCTCCAATAATAGGTTCAAAATCATATCAAATATATAAACCTTTTTTATTTGTTATTTATTCATTTCCATATATATATATATATATAAATTTGAATGAATTTATTTCCAAATATTTTTATTCATAATCTCTGAAATAATATTAAAATTATTGGAATTTATACCCGGCTTACATATATCTATCTTAATATACATATATATCCATGGTAAAAAAATATGCTATAAACAAGAAATTTTTTTTATCTTTAAATCTATAAATATTTTCTTATCTTAATATTTGCATAAGGTTGAATAAAATATTATATAAAATTATAAATAAATCGCCATTTCTTTATCTCCTCTAATTTGAACAGTGAAATGAATTATTTTTTAAGTGTTCGATTTTAAGATCAAACCAGAACGACAAATGATCTCGAATTTTTGCGATACGAACGAGACCTAAAATGAAGATGGGGCGATAATAGTTTATTACAATGTAGAAGTTCGAATTTTTAATTTTTTTAACTATGTTAAATTAAATTTTTTCTGAAAAAGGTCCAACGGTCATAAATTTTAGAATTATATATATATATATATATATAATATATATATATATATATATTTCTAATACATTTAACTGTTCATAAAAAAATATAGTATAATAAAAATTAAAAATGAGAATATTTTAAATCGTAATTATTCTAATTTGAACAAAAAAATCTTTTGTTTTTATTAATATATTTCTTGCCGTAAAGAATTTTTTGCCGTTAACAATAAATTTTTTTTTTTTTTTCCAGACGACATGCATTCAACGGATGTCAGTTTTCATTGAAAAATACATCCCTACCCTTTTATCAAAATGTATTTAATAACCGATAAAATGATACAGACATAAGGAAAATTTGGACACCCCTTGTCCAATTGAAGTAGATTTATCTGTAACCATGGAAACATGATTTTAGCTGTGTCTTTAAAACCCAGTAATTTTAAAAGTTACTCCAAAATTCGCTTGAGGATGAAATGGAATTAATGTCTTTTTTTTAATTTGCAAAATTAAATTCGTGGCTTTTAGCTTCCATTTTTGAAACATGGTTAGAACTGTATTTTCTTCTTTACATATTTTAAATCAATTAATTTATAATATTAATGCTTTCTATAAATTTACATTTATTCTATTTTGTAAAAATAAAAATATCTATAAAAACACCGGATTATATATCTTATCTGTTCTTTCTTTTCTATATATATATATATATAACATTGAGATGAGGGATTATAACATATTTATATTTTTCGGGATGTTTGTCCTCATCTTTATTGTGTTTATTCAAAATAGTTTCGGCTGTTTTTTGGTTTTCTTTTTTAAACAAATTCTTTCTGGGATGAGGTTTCTATTTAACATCCCAAAAAATGTAAATATCATTAAATAATAATAATAATAAATAATAATAATAAAAAAAACACTTTTTTCCAAAAATTCTATCATCTGGGCTTTTTAAAAACCCCAAACACCTTTTCCCCGAATCTAAATGTTTTTTTTTTATTTAACATGAATAGGCAGTATGAAAAACAAACATTCTTTCTTTTGCATCCAAGTACTGTCTATCCGTTTGCTTTGTTTTGAAATTTAATTTTTTTCAAAGTGGCTTTGTTGGTAGTCTTTTTAAATTTCCTTATTTATTTTGACAATATTTTCTTTTTAGGATTTGGCCAAGGACCATTCATTTTGAAAATTTCCGAATTCTCTTTGTTTATGTTTTTATTTATTCAAATCAAGAAACAATCCAAACCAAAGGCTTTTTTTTTATTTTTTTTTCTTTCTTTCTTTCTTTCCCAACTTTCTTTTTCGTTCGTTCGTTCTTTTCTTTTTTTCTTTTTCCTTTTTAAATTTTTTTTTTTTTTATTTATTTTTTCAATTCTTTTTTTCTTTCTTAATTTTCCATTTCTTTCCTTTCTTTCTTTTTTTATTATCATTTTTTTCCTTTATTTTTTTTATTTCTTTTTCCTTTTTCTTTTTCTTTTCCATTAAAAGTGCTTTTTTTTTCTTTCTTTTTTTTTTTTAAACATTTTCTAAAATCCTTTTTCTTTTTTTCATTTTTTTTTTTTTTTAACCTTTTTTTTTTTAAGGTTTTTCTTTTCTTTTTTTTTATATTTCTTTTATTTTTTTTTTTTCTTTTTTCTTTCTTTTTTTCTTTTTCATTTTCTTTTTTTCCGTCCTTTTTTATTTTTTTTTTTTTCTTTTTTTTTTTTCAAATTCTTTTTTTTTTTTTTCTTTTCTTTTTTTTTTTCTTCTTTTTTTTTTTTTTTTTCAATTTTTTTTTTTTTTTCTTTTTTCATTTTAATTTTTTTTTTTTTTTCTTTCTTTTCTTCTTTTTTTTTTCTTTTTCAAATTTTTCTTTCTTTTTAATTTTCTTTTTTTTTTTTTATATTTCTTTTTTTCTAAATTTTTCCAAAAATTTCTTTTTTCTTTTTTTTTTTTTTTTCTTTTTTTTTTTTTTTCTTTATTTTCTTTCTTTTATTTTTTAGTATAACTCTAATTTTTCTTTTCCAGAAAATTTATTTTTCTTATTTTAATCATTTTTCTTATATTTTTTTTCTTTCTTTACCTTCATTACACTGATTTTTTTTATATTAAATTTCTTTCTTTCTTTTTTTTTTTTTTTTCTTTTCTTTCAGTTAAATTTTTTTTCTTTCTTTCTTTCTTTTCTTTCTTTCTTTTTTTCTTTCTTTCTTTCATTTTTTTCTTTTCATCTTTTTTTTTATTTTGTTTTTTTCTTTTTTTCTTTCTTTCTTTCTTTCATTATTTTTCTTTTTTTTTTTCCTTCGTTCTTTCTTTCTTTTTTTTTTTTGTTATTTCTTTTTTTCTTTCCTTCGTTCTTTTGAAAACGTTCTTTTATTTCTTTTTCTTTCTTTTTTTCTTTCTTTTTCTTTTTTTTTTTTCTTTCTTTCTTTCCTTCCTTTCTTTCTTTCTTTTTCTTTCTTTCTTTCTTTATTTTCTTTTTTTTTTTCCTTCTTTTTTCCTTTTTTTTCTTTCTTTCTTTTTTTCTTTCTTTTTCTTTCTTTCTTTTCTTTCTTTTGTTCTTTCTTTCTTTTCTTTTTTTCTTTTTTTTTTCTTTTGTTTTGAGATAACTTTTTTTTTCAAACTTTCTTTCTTTTTTCTTTCTTTTTTTGTTATTTCTTTTTTTTCTTTCTTTCCTTTCGTTCTTTCTTTCTTTCTTTCTTTCTTTTCTTTTTTTCTTTCTTTTTTTTATTTTTCTTTTTTCTTTTTTCTTTTTCTTTCCTTTCTTTTCTTTCTTTCTTTGTTTTTTTTATTTCTTTTTTCTTTCGTTCGTTCTTTGTTCTTCGTTCTTTCTTTCTTTCTTTCTTTCTTTCTTTCTTTCGTTTTTTCTTTCCTTCGTTCTTTCTTTCTTTCTTTCTTTGTTATTTCGTTTTTTCTTTCCTTCGTTCTTTCCTTCGTTCTTTCTTTCTTTCTTTCTTTCTTTCTTTCTTTCTTTCTTTCGTTCGTTCGTTCTTTGTTATTTCGCTTTTTCTTTCCTTAGTTCTTTCTTTCGTTCTTTCTGTTTTCTTTCTTTCTATCTTTCTTTCTTTCTCTCTTTCTTTTTTTCTTTCGTTCGTTCGTTATTTTGTTTTTTTCTTTCTTTCTTTTTTTTCTTTCTTTTTTTCTTTCTTTCTTCTTTTCTTTTTTTCTTTGGGCTTACGGCCGTACCACGTTGACTCACCAATCATCAAAGTTAAGCAACGCCAAGCCAAGTTACTACCTAGATGGGTGACCGCTTGGAAATACTAGACGCTGTAAGCTTGCATATATGGTTGGTGCAGTGGATAACAGCTCGGAAGAGAAAATCGGAGTACCGAGTTCTAATTCCTGTCGAGTTCGTTTTATAATCATTTAAAGCGCAAATGCTCTTGGGTAAGGCATGACTTCATATCTTCTATCCTTTCCAAATATGGGATCATTAGTAAGCCATATTACTAAATCATTTATTAACTTCAAAACTTTCTTACGATCTAAAAATATTTTCTGGCTTTAAATAACCTGCACAAGGTTGATAAGCCGTAATAGATAGCGACAGAAAAGCAGATATAAAATATATGTTCATTACACTTGTAAATACTGTCAATTGGAAACTTGGCGCGACACAGTCTTCCTACACCTTTTTGTCTCCGACACAAGTCGGATCAAAGCTTTGCAAATATCACTAATAGCAACTTTTAGATCGGACATGGAGTCAATGAATAAATACAATATGATACTACTGCGCTTACCGCGAATCTGGCGTCTGCACACACGAAATGGCACAGAGCAGTGGGCGTACATTTACAATGGCTACCATTCAGACGAGAGATGTTGTCAACACATGCACACGCGCACAGAGAGTTAAAAAGATACATTAATAGTAATGAGTAGGTAAAATGTTATGTCTGCTCATAATAAGGTCGGATGGTCGTATCAAACTATCAGCTTTTATCTATCTATCTATCTATCTATCTATCTATCTATCTATCTATCACATGTCTCATCTGTTCGTATCTATCTATCTATCTATCTCAGTCTGTTTGTCTATCTATCTATCTATCTATCTATCTATCATCTATCTTCTATCTATCTATCTATCTATCTATCCTCTATCTATCTATCTATCTATCATATCTGTTCGTATATATCTATCTATCTATCATCCTATCTCAGTCTGTTTCTGAATCTATCTATCTATCTATCTATCTATCTATCTATCTATCTATCAAAGTCTGTTTGTATCTATCTATCTATCTATCTATCTATCTCTATTTATCCATCTATCCATCCTATCTATCCATCTATCTATCTATCATCCATCTATCTCCATCTGTTTGTATCTATCCATCTATCTATAATTATCCAAATATCTATCTATCTATCTATCACAGTCTGTTTGCATCTATCTATCTATCTATCTATCTATCTATCTATCTATCTATTTCATCTGTTCTATTCCATCTCTATCTCCTATCTATCAATCTCTCAATCTATCTATCTATCTATCTATCTATCTATCCATCTATCTAAGTCTGTTCGTATCATATCTATCTATCCATCTATCTATCTATCTATCTATCTGTTATCTAATTCTCTATCTATCATTCATCTATCTATCAAATCTGTCTATTCCTATCTATCTATCTATCTATCTATCTATCCATTCATCTATCTATCTATCTAAGTCTATCTAAATATGTAACATATTTGTTTAATCTGTTCTATTTATTCATCTTTCTATCTATCTATCCATCAGGCGTCTATCCAGAGTTTCTATCTATCTATCTCAGTCTATTGATCTACGCATCTATTATCATCTAGAACTTAAAAGGAAACATCCTCATCTATCTATCTATCAAAGTCTGTTGTATCAGAACCATTCATCTATCATCTATCTATCTATCTATCTATCTATCTATCTATTCGAAGTCTGTTCGTATTCATTCATCTATCTATCTATCTATCTATTCATCTATCTATACTTTCAAATTCTATTTAACAAAAATCTATCATTATCTGTCTATCATTCATCTATCTATCAAATGAATGTCTTGCATGGCACCAAAATATATATATGACTGTTATTTCTATTTGTATTTGTGAAACTTTTCTTGTTATTTTCGTATGGTTCCCTTTTAAATATCTTAATCACAATGTCATGTGGACCTCAGAATCACAAAAAATGTTCCTGTTTCCCACCCCCACCCCTCGAGGCTAATGTACTGATAAGGAAAAGGATTTTGCTGATGACATAGGTATTCATAGTTGGGATAATAATGATCTAGAACTGAAAATCAACATCCTCTATCAAGTGTTCGTAGAAATAGGATTCAACATAAGACTTTGCAAAACGGAGACTATGATCTGGAATTGGGATGAAAATAATGATATCCCCTATACTGAATCTGTCATAAATATACAGGATGTGGAATTAGGAAATGCTAAGCATTTTTAATACCTCGGCATATATGGATTCGTTATAAGAATTTTTTTTATAGGAGTCAAGTTAATTGAACATATAGAATAGGTTGCGCCAGGATAGTTTCACACAATACCACAAATTGCTTCTAAACAAAAAAAAACAAAAAAACGAAACACTTCAAATACTTCAGCGTATGGATCAGTTATAAGAAATTAAGTATAAGGGTAAAAGGAAAATGAACATAGAATAGATTGCGCCAGGATAGTTTCACCCAATACCACCAATTGCTTCTAAACCAAAACACCAAACTGAAAACTCATCATGTGCTTAAATAGCCTCGCCAGATAGATACTTTCATGTGGATGTCATGCAGGGCGCCAAACCCGTTCAGAAATATCTAAACTGTCAGTTTTATACAACCACCTACGCAGAGCAATATTTTAAAAAAAGATTTCGAGTGAATGACGCTAACAGGTCATAGCAAGGATAATCTTTCTTTGAACCTCGTGAACTGCCGCGACAGAGTAGTGAGTTAGATCCTCACTGGGTGCTCCATAAATCTCTCTCTCTCTCTCTCTCTCCTTTCTTTCTTTCTTTTTGTTTATCAAGATAGCTTAGTTTCTTTCTTTCTTTCTTTCTTTCTTTCTAGCCCAATGTGTTTGTATCTATCTATCTATCTATCTATCTATCTATCCCAGCCTCTGCTCATATCTATCTATCTATCTATCTATCTATCTATCTATCTATCTCAGTTCTTTCATTGCTGAAAGGAGTTATACAAAGCCCATCATAAAAACGATTTAAGGACTGACTGGCAATTAGATCCGCTGTCAAATGGATTTTTAGAAAAAAAAATTTCCTCCTCCTCCTAAAATTTTTTCCTTCTCCTCCTCCAACAGAATCGCGGACGAAGTCTCGGACGAAAATAAATCTCGTTTAGGACGAAGTTTTGTAAATGACGTACACTGAAATCAAGGCAGAAATACTCTCGAAATCTCGGACGAAGTGAAGTCTCGTATAATGAAATCAACATATGCAAATGAGGTCGTTTCTAAAAAAAGAACAAACATCGAACGAAAGTCATTAGACCACACACACAATCTTGTCTCGTATTTGTATTAATTCTTATACTAGAACCCAATGCAAAGTTTGATGTCTCAAGAAGACGACGATGGCCCACAGCAGTTAATTTTATATGTTTGGTTTGTTTTACGGGATATCAACCTTTCCCAGATTATTTAATACCGAATTCTGTCATTTTAATAAACTATAGATAGACAAAAGTTTGGTCTGCACGAGAGTCAAGAAGGTAGACATAGGTACAGTTAACTGGTGGATCGAACTTCCGCCACATCGACTGGGCGGGGGTTAGTTTGCCTTCTTGGTCATGTCAGAGTGATACATATATTCTTAAAACATTTTCTGTTCGATATTTGAGAAGAATTTTCTTTACAATAAACAAATAGAAAGTTCAAGAAACAGCTGGAAAAACCAGAAAATATGTTTTTGTAATATTTCTCGGAACGTGGGAATTTTATTTTAAAAAACAACAAAACATTTTTTTCGTATATAACAAAGGACATCAGCATGTATGATTATGTGAAATTTACAAATTATATCTATCTATCTATCTATCTATCTATCTATCTATCTATCTATCTATCTATCTAAGTCTGTTCGTATCTATCTATCTATCTATCTATCTATCTATCTATCTATGCTTGTTCTCTTCTATGTATGTATGTCTGTATGCATCTATCTATCTATCTATCTATCTATCTATCTATCTATCTATCTAAGTCTGTTCGTATCTATCTATCTATCTATCTATTTGTTTATCGTAGTTTGTCCATATCTATCTATCTATCTATCTATCTATCTATCTATCTATCTATCTATCTATCTCAGTCCGTACGTATCTATCTATCTATCTATCTATCTATCTATCTATCTATCTATCTATCTCAGTCTGTTCGTATCTATCTATCTATCTATCTATCTATCTATCTATCTATCTATCTATCTATGCATGTTCTCTTCTATATATGTATGTCTGTATGTATGCATCTATCTATCTATCTATCTATCTATCTATCTATCTATCTATCTATCTATCTATGATACTATTTGTCGTAGCCGCGCTATAACGGAAGAAAGTTTTCTTAAAACATGACAAAGTGTTATGTACTGAGAGACATTGAAACAAGAAGGGTTAATACGGAAAACCTGTGGAAAAAATTGAGGATTTAATTCACAGATAAACGACTTGAATTGTATGTCGAGCAGTTTAAACAGTGGAAAAGAGACCCCAACACAGGGGGCAATGTTGACTGATACACAGCTGCAAGTGCAAGCTGTAAAGCGAAAATTTCATTTTTCGTAAACAACGAATTTGGATTTGATTCCCCTAGTCGAAAGTTGAGTTGAAATACCAGGAGGTGGGTGGATAAGCCACCCACGCTCAGTGAGGAGATTTAGTGAGAGGTAATGAGTGAGTGGAATAAAGGAATTCCCCAGAATTATCGAATTCTCTTACTTCGCCAGTTTGGGCGAATGTCCATAAATACGAATGGGAGAAGCGAATTCAGCAGACGAGTCGCAGACGAGAGAAGAGAGACAGAAGAGACGGAGACGAGACCAGAGACAGGAGAGAGGCCCATGTGATTATCTGCCGACGAAAGCCTCCGACTTCAGCCTTGTGCCTAACTTTACAAACAACAGAAAACCAAATTTTGCCAGGTCAACAATAATATCAATTCCGATTTAGAAAACACGGGTTAGGCTGATAATTAATTGCATGCGAAATCTGTTAAACTGAGGACTGATATAAAAATTTACTTTTGTTTAATTTTATTCGAGTGTTATTTTTTCCTCTGTACGTTTTCGCCCTGCTTGGACCAGCCCAACACGAAGATACCTTTGATGATTCGATCTTGGCCTCCTTGTGATCAGACTTAAGTCACAACGTGGGATAAGGCAGGTCTGAGATCGAAGCGATCTTCATCGATCAGCCGCGGTTTTGGAAAACTTGGACAACGGGGGAGGTAGCTGCACGGTTACATCTCTCTCTCTCTCTCTCTATTTATCTATCTATCTATCACAGTTTTTCCTATTTATCTATTTTGAAATATGAAAATGACAGTAGCACCTATCATCAGCAGCACACTTGGAATAACGTGAAAGAGAATTGCAAAGAAGCTGGAGAGAACTGTAAACTGAAGGAAGAATTTAAACCACCCAGACGACAACATTGCTCATCTAGAACACTGAGGATAAGATTGGTGTATTAAGGAGTCTTGCTGTCACTTGATCTCGTCATTTTAATTCCCGAGTCATGGAATTGATATTGTATTCAATGTATAAGTCAAAGTAAGCCTTCATTTTGACCGGCAAGAATTGATCAGATCATATCTTCGCTAGCATGGAAGAAACGATCAGTTCTTGCGGATTGAAGCCGGTTCGTTTCCGAAGAAAACCTGGCAATGCAACAGATGGAATGTCATGACTATGCCATTTCTAACCTTAGGTCCCTGGGCGGGACCCGGAAAGAAATGAGTATACATCAGAAATCAAAAGAAATAATAATAATAATAATTGTGAAAGTGAGATAGAATGTTGAGAGAGGCTGCTGTCACTTGATCTTCAGTAAAATCCATCAGTTATTCAACAAATAATAATAATAGTTCTACCCCAGCGTTACTTTCTTTTTGGGCTGGGTGCTCTCTAAATCAATCAATCAATCAATCAATAATAAATATAATAATAATAATGGCTCTTGATTTTAATTGGGGAATTAAAATGGTTTACAGCAAATATTTCGTTTAGATTTGTTTCTCACTTGCTTGACTGTAACCAGTCAAGCGTGCCCCACCCCACGCGCTGTGCATCTCTATCCACGAGCGGGGGTAGTGAAAGAGTATCAAGGACGGATGTCGAGGGTTTTTTTTAAAAATTAATTTAAGTTCGAAGGATGGGTCAGCCAAGACAACTTGGGAGACCCATCTATTTTGTAACAGCCTCAATCGGAGAACGTTTGAGCGGACTAAGTTACCTGACCTGGAGGTATTTCAAAAACTGGACCACCGTCTTGAATGATGGTCAGCATATCGTGCACATTTGGCTGTGATGCATGCGCGTGCTATACTCTTATCAGACTGTGCGTCGTGGTGGGTATATTAGGTTTCATATATCTGCACCCCACGGTTACTTTGTTGGCTTTCTACACCCTCCCTCACTCACACAATAATAATAATAATAATAAA